TATATAGATAGATATACATATATTCAGATACATCTTGTACAAACAGTATTTAATAGATATCTTCGTTATACATTTTAGTGATTATCATTGGACCCTTGTTTATTTTGTTGTTAAGCATGAAGCTGCACAATGGACTATTAATGTTCTGCCCACAACCGGTATATAAAACCCGATTCATAGTCTTATATAAGTTATGAGCTTTCAGGCTTACCTTTGAGCCACCGAGGAGCCATTGGGTGCTAAACAGTATATCTCGAATAGTGAATATTGAGTTAGTTTCACTCAACGTGTACCTGAATTAAACTTTATCCGATCGTTTTGATGTTGTTGTCGTTTTCATGAGTAAATTAATTTTTAACAACTGGTGTATTACTATGAATTTCTCCAAGTATTTGATTTATCACCTTTCTTGAACGTTATACTTCTAGCTGTAAAAGTTCTCTATCAGATTTTAACAAAATAGTAAATTTTGGGTTTGTTTTGTGGAATAATTATTTGCTACGTGACCGAACGTGCCCTGATGGTTGGGGTGTTCGGAATACGGATCCGAGAGTTCATGGTACGCGTCCCGCGGCCACACTTTAAACCCTATACGATCGAGGGTTTAATCTCACTATTTGGTCAGATCAGGACAGCTCAAGAGTTGACTGTAGGTGCTGTTGACTAGTTGCCTGACTTTAGACTCGTGGTTCTCAGCCTGTGGTCTGTGAACGCAAGAGTTCCTGAGAATTATATAAGACCCGTAACGGTAAAGATCCAGTTACTTTATCATCCTTCAGAAAGAAGAGGAACCGCTATGTTTGTTTGAAAATTTTCATTAACTTAAATACTTATTTATGCCAGTAACGCTTTTATACACTATGGGATCAACTTCTGCAGATAGCGCTATCTCAATATGGAAGTCGACGAGATTGTCTTTGGTTCATGAAGAGATCTGTGAGGCATAAAACATTCAGAACCTATTAGTTCACAATCAGGAACCACTACGTGCAGATAGCCCCTGTGTAGCTTTACCCCAACATTATACAAAAAAAGCCAACTAAACTAACTATAGTAATTATGAGTTTTCCTCCAGCAAGACAAAACATTTGAAATACTATCCTATCTACCCCTGGCGGAAAGAAGTTCATTTGAAAATGGTTTAACGAAAAAAAAAGTAAAACGCGTATGTTGGTTCCGTATCACTTAAAGGTTTAAATACCGGATCCAGCACGTATTCCATTCGTTAAAAGCAAAATAAATAATGTGTTTTATAAAACATCCTGTTTTCTAAATCAACTGCATACAAAGAAAACACAAAACAATCATCGGCTTTAGTCATGTTTCTTTTGTTCAAACTACGTGGTTGTTTTGTTAAGACTGTAAACAACCATTTTATTCTAGATATAGCCTAACAATAACAATTACTAAAACTGTGTTTTCCTTGAAACTTTCTCCTACCCCTCAGTGGCATAGCTATATGTCTGCGGACTTACAACGCTAGAAACCGGGTTTCGATACCCGTGGTGAGCAGGGCACCGATAGCCCAATGTGTAGCTTCGTGCTTAACTTCAAATAAACAAAACACTTTCCCCTTCCACAATAAGCAGTCTGAACAGCGCAAGTTCTCCTAATCCATCTATCCAACACTGATACTGTTTTGGTTAGGTCTTACGTATTGTTTTCTACCTTCTAGTTGCTATTACCTGCTTGTGCAAGAAAAAGTCTAATGTAAGAAGATAATTATAAATTCAACATATTTCATATCTGTTTGAGAAGTAAGTTGAAAATGCATAGCAAGAACAAGGAAATGTTTTAGTTTGTTGACATCGAACTGCTCGGGCAAATATCTGAATCCGTCGTGGAAAATTCAGTTTATAAAGCAAACAAATAATCAGATAGTACAGACCAATAAGATTAACATATTTAGAGACAGCACAGCTAAAACGCGGCCACTGCAAAAATAAAGGTTTATTTGTCTTTTTTTATTTTGTAAGCACCTTTTTGAGCCCACCCACCCCCGTCAGTGGCTCAGCTGTACCGTAAGTCTCTGGACTTTTGGCACTAAAAATTGAGTTTCGATAATCGTGGTGGGAGCAGTACAAATATCCCATTATGTTGCTTTCTGCTTAACAACCAACAAACAAATCCTTTTCATTTAAACATATAGAGCAAACTATAGTTACACAAACCAAAATACAAAGTTAAATACACACATATATATATATATATATATATATGTATAACTAATTTATATTTGACTAATAATAAATGCTCATTTCCGCACACATCTGTGAAAACTTTAATAAAAAAGTACATTTCTTTTTGTGTGATGACAGAGATTTTACCATCTATCTTCTGATAATGTTGACAATAAACTCTGAACTGTTCTTCCATATAAAAAAATATTTATATGGATCTATTTTGGATAATTATGGTAAATATCATGACTACAGCATTGAAAACTTTGTGGCAATGTTTTTATTTATAGACTTTCAACTGTTTTCTTTTCATAATTTCTTTTCAGGCTCATTGTGCTATTGTATTATGGGTATAAAACATCACACAAAAACCAACGTCTTGGAGCACAATGAAAGATAAAATTATATTTTTATTACAGCCGACTAGCTTCGGTAACACAGTTATCATTATCACAGTAGACACTAGCCCTAATGATGATAACTATTTTACTGAAACTAGTCGGCTGTGACTAATTAAGATTTTTACTTTTCATTGTGCCCCCAAAACTTTGGTTTTGTGTTTTTTTCTCCTAATTTCAAAGGTTTGTTGATTACTTTGAGCAAAAATAAAGAAAACATAGGATCCGAACAAAAATAAAGGATTTTATAAGTTTTGGAGGTTTCACATTAAGAAAGCAGACCAGAAAATATTTTTTAAATAAAATGGCAGAATTCGTTCAGCATCTTAGGAAAAGAGGTCATGAAACTCTTATGTTTGCAATGATGTTTCGTCGTAGACTAATGGTTAGCCTGTTAGGCTGCGGATCCAAAAGTCCAGGATTGGAGAGGGGTTGCCTCTGAATACACTCCGCACTTGAAGCTGTGTACGCCCTATATAATGACAGTCAATCCTGCTATTCGGTTCATAAATTGGATAATGCACTATGCCGGCGGGTAATGCTAGATGGCTGCTTTCCTTCTGGTCAAAGTTAGGGACTGTTATATGTGAATACCAGGCGTCTATGGATCAGCTGTTTAACCTAATTGCGCGTTGTCGTTAAGACTGAAAATTCCAATTCCTTTGATGTTTCATTTGGCATCCTATGTGCACATGCAATCACAAGTACGAAATGTAACTACGAAGAAGTTTAACCTACCGGAAATTACCGTAAACTTTAACAGGCTCATTTAGTAAAGATTAATATAAGGCCTTACTTTTTCACACGCAAGTTTATACCTCTTTGAAATAATTACTAGCTCATAATACTAGAAAATATGATGAATTATAGAAAGTTGTTTAACACAGAATACATCTTTCAGAAATACAGTTTCACATCAAAACTTCAGCACACTTTTATTCACATCGATCCAGATTCTCGCTTATCAATTGAAAAAGTTTTCGACAGTATTCAAGGGTTTAAAATAATACATAAATATTTTTATAAGTATTTGTTTTATTGTCTTAGAGCTTACTCTGAGTACAAAAGCTCTATTAGTGTTTGATCGAAGGTATAGCATTTGTATTTTTACACTAAAACGTAAGAACCAATTTGATGCTCCCCGCTGGGCCAGCTGTAAGTCTACGGATTTACAACGCTAAAATCAGGGGTTCGATTTCCCTCGGTGAACACAGCAGATAGCCCGCTGTGGCTTTACTATAAGAAATACACACAAATAAATTTGACTGTGCGTTTTTCTGGAAATGTTTTTTAGAGCTAGTCTTGAGACAGTCATCACTTTCAACTAATTCTTTTAAGTGGAGAAAACAAAGATGAAAACGTGATTATTTCGTATATGTGAACTTGGTTTCTTTATAACCTCAGAAGACAATTTGTTTAGGTTCAAAGAAGCTGCAGCTTCACACAAATTATTAAGAAATTCTTATTAGTAACTGTAAATATAGAAATAAAATAAGTTAAACAGTTATAAATTAATGACGACAATTATGACTTAACGTCGTAAGTCAACCTACGCCAGAAAATCAGTGTGTACGATTAAAATGATTTGATATTTCCGGCCTTAACATTCTGCACTCTGTCTACCAGTGTGTCTACTACACTAACATTAAAATACGCACGAACTAGGTGCTACACTTACAGTAAAATCAGTACTACTCCGTAATCAAGTAGCACACTAACACTAAAATATGCCCTACTCCGTAACTAGGTGCTGTACTTATAGTAAAATCAATACTACTCCGTAATCAAGTAGCACACTAACACTAAAATATGCCCTACTACGTAACTAGGTGATGTACTTATAGTAAAATCAATACTACTCTGTAATAAAGTATTACACTAACACTAAAATATGCACTACTCCGTAACTAGGTGCTGTACTTATAGTAAAATCAATACTACTCTGTAATAAAGCATTACACTAACACGAAACTATGCACTACTCCGTAACTAGGTGCTACACTTACAGTAAAATCAATACTACTCCGTAATAAAGTACTACACTAACACGAAACTATGCACTACTCCGTAACTAGGTGCTATACTTACAGTAAAATAAATACTTTTCCGTAATAAAGTACTACACTAACATTAAAATAAATACTTTTCCGAAACGCAGTATTATATAGGCAGTACAACAGATAATGTGGAACTATAATTTCAATAAAATGAATAACTCTCACTAGGGGGGTACAATGAACACTGTGCTCTCACTAGGGTGGTACAATGAGCACTGTGCTCTCACTAGGGTGGTACAATGAACACTGTGCTCTCACTAGGGTGGTACAATGAGCACCGTGATATTAGTCTGTGACAAGACAATAGTTTTTATAATAATAATAATACAATTACTAAGTACAGCGTAATGCTGTTATATACTTACAGAGGTGTAAGCAAGTTACAATCACATTAGTTACGTCAGAAATGGAGCTTCCTCTTCCAAGATTGTTAGAAGACAGACTGGATAATCTCCAATTAACAGCCTTATCGGCGAATCATACCCGCTTCGTGTGTGACTTTGGTAGTTTTCTTTTGTTCAACTATTCTCAGTTTTTTTTCCTCCTGTTCTTCTTCTCCTTCAAACTCTTATCTACTATGCTATCCAACCTTTAGTAATACAACACTTACTGTTGGTCTAAAACAGAAAAAAAATTGATCACGTCATCGTCTTTTAAATACCGATGGACCCTTTGTTTAATCTAATAAAAGCTATATTTTTTTATTCAGTACACCAGGGCTCACTACAATGTACAGCGTGTGAAACAAGGGAATTTATTTCACCTTTTAAATCATGAGGTGGGTAGACGGTTGAGATGTTTTGTCCTCTCTCTCAGATTATAAGGATCGCGTGTGAATGACGTATTCACGTTCGGTAGCCAATAGGCCAATTAGTGAAGGGCTCTTCCATCATTTTTCTGTATAGTTCCCAGAATTTGTCTGGATTATAAACAAATACAGGGAGTAGTCGTTAATGACGTTTTGGTTTCAGTAGGAATTTCGAAAGATCTTGTCTCCCCCCCCTACGCTTCCTACGTATTTATGTAAATACAAAAATGAAACGTATTTATGATTCCCAAATTGCAGTTTTTAGAATTCTGCCACATGCTTGCTTTGTATTTGGTGTTTTAAATTTCTGTTTCTCACCTTAGGAAATATTTACTGCTCTAATTTCAGACAAGTTTGAATCGACGAAACGATATTATTCTTGAGTAAATACACTTAAAGAAAAGAACAAGC